TGACTACGTGTCAGGGGCGGAAAATGGCCATGGACCACGTGTCAGGGGTGGAAAAATGGCCACGGACCACGTGTCAGAGGCGGCGCGGACCACGTGTCAGGGGTGGAAAAATGGCTGTGGACCACGTGTCGGGCGGAAAAATGGCCACAGACCACATGTTGGGCAGAAAAATGGCCGCAGAGCACGTCGGGCGGAAAAATGGCTGCGGACCACATGTCGGGCAGAAAATGGCCGCGGACCACGTCTCAGGGGCGGAAAAATGGCCGCGGACCACGTGTCGGGCGGAAAATGGCCGCGGACCACGTGTCAGGGGCGGAAAAATGGCCGCGGACCGTGTCACGGGAGGGAAAATGGCCGCATATCCGGCTCGTACCCCGAGTTTGCAAACCGAGGTAAATTTTTGCGGCCGGAGCTGGTCGTAACCCGAACAGTTCGTTAACAGAGGCGTTCGTAACCCAAGGTACCACTGTATATATAAAATTCTGTTTACTTTCTTTAAAGGCATTTCCTTGGAGAGATGATTATAGTAGTCAAGCCCTATTGTCCCTAGAAAGACAACTAATAACTGAGCCAAAGACTATTTTCTCTGCATAGGATTGCTGCCCCATTGCAGGCCAACCACACATACATGCACACAGAATTTAGGTTGCTAAGGCTTTACTTCTGGTTAAATCAAGTATAGGCAGGGACAGACAGAGCATGTGTGTAAGCATCCACCCATCTCAGCAAACTCCCAGTCATATAAGAGCATGCCTGCAACCAAGTTCTGAACATTGACAGTCCAAAGTAGCAGGCAGAAGGGTTCCCAGGTCATGGTCTAAAGATCTAGGTATTGTGGGTCGGTTGTCAACCAGTTTGGGTTCAGACCAACAGAGACTTGCAAGATTGTTGTCAACCCTTTAAAGCTGGCTAGACTTAAGAAACCAGAGTCATGCAGGCCAATATTGCTTTTATTATAAAGATACAGTAACAAAGCTTGCAAATCTGAATGCACTTCCCCCTCCCTCCCTTTATCTCTGTGAGAAGTAGGGAGGGTCTTGCCTGAGACATTTTCTCAAGTTACGGTTCTGCCCAGACTCAGGTTTCTTTTATCTGATGGTTGTCTTGGTAGCGGCTCCTCCTCCTGTCCCTCAAGGCCATTCTCTTTCCACTATACTTCAGCTAACAATGAGAACATACAACTGTCCTTGGTGGATCAAGCCAAGGCCCATCCTATTCCAACTTTATGGCTCTCAAGTGGTTGTCACCTCCAAGACTTGCAATATCAGCAGATAGGTGCAGGATTTAACTGGCCTGCTGACAGCTGCCCCATAGTGGCCGAGGGCCTGGTTTAATAGCATAATGCATAATTCTACATGGCTGAGCCCTTCTTGCTGTCATGCATTGTGCTAAATTGGATGGAGCTACACAGATGTGTAGATGGAACAACCGATGCTTAGGAAATCCCATGTGGTTCCTTGGGATGAACAAAAGGAACTCAGCTGCATTCTGACATTCCATATAAGGAGGGATTTGCCCCCTTGCATGCAGGGCAGTAGCTCTATGGGAAACTCATAGTTTGAATGCAGAAGATCTCACAATGAGTCTCAGCATCTGGAAAGCTCCTCTCCAAAACCCCAGACAGTTGCTATAGTTCATGCAGATAATATAAAGCCAGATGGGCAAGACTGCAATAACTGTGAGGATTTATGGGTCTCTTATCTGCAGAGCTTGTGCGTCATAGGTCACTAATTTAGCCACCAATCATTGTGTTTAAATTAAAATGAGTGGTTAGGGAAAGCTGGGACTCACTGCTTCTAATGAAAAACTGCCTCTGTGTCGTGTTATTAATTCCTGTATTTGCTGAGCAAATGGCATACACAAGCCTGATTGTAATGGGAAGAGAGGATCTTTTCCACCCACCAGGTTTCCATTGTTGGAAATGAAGGCTACATGATGGAAAGAGTTAGAAGCTGTTCGTTTTGCTCCAGTTCATGAGCTAATGGAGGTTGTTGAATTTTTTTAAAAAAGCATGTCCTGGCAAAATTGTGGAACCACCGGAGCAAAAGGAACATATTTCTTGTATTTTTCATTTTTCTTATGAAAGGATCTTTAGCTGACGGCAGAATTCTCCATTAGCTGGAGCTTCCTTCTGTGCTGTAAGATGTGATTCCCTAAGAAAAGTATGTGAGATGAAAGGCAGAAAAGAAAATAGTATTTCTTGGGTAAGGTCACTCTGATAATTCATTTATTCTTAAGAAAGAGTAATAAAATATATATTAAAGGGAAGAGATAAGGCAAGTTTTTTTTTTTTCATGATTCCCCCCTGCAGGGATGTCAAGTAACTCAAGAAACACCTCTTGTTGGTGCACAGTCCTTAACGAC